CGAGGTACTAAGCAATTCAGTGAGACCCTGTCTCAAAATGAAAATACAAAAAAGCTGTGACTCAATAGTTATGTTCCCCTGAGTTCAATCCCCGATACCAAAAAAGAAAAAAAAAATCCCACTTCAATAGAAGGAAAAACTATAAGGTGTCTAAGAGTATATCTAACAAAAGAGACATATATTTGGAGAATTATTTTTTAAAAATTTTTTAATAAATGAAGAGATATGCTAGATTCAGGGCACTGATTATCATTAACATGTCTCTTCTCCCCAAATTAATCTATAATTTAATTGAATTGCTATCTAATCTCAAAATTTTCATGTAGTTTAAGAAAATTGTTTCTAATAAGCTAGGTACAAAGTATAGGACCAAACCGATGTTGATAATTAAGTAGAGGAATTTACCATGTCAAATATTAAACTTGATCATTTTTGCTTTCAGTCTGCATCTTTTTTTTAATATTTATTTTTTAGTTGTAGTTGGACACAATACTTTTATTTTATTTATTTATTTTTATGTGGTACTGAGGATTGAACTCAGGGCCTCGCACATGCTAGGCAAGTGTTCTACACTGAGCCACAACCCGGCCCTCAGTCTGCATCTTTATATTAATAATATGTATCTTAAGCCGGACATGGTGGTACATGCCTATAGTCCCAGTGACTCAGAAGGCTGAGGCAGAGGACCACAAGTTGCCTAGAAGCCAGCCTAGGCAACTTAATGAGACCATATCTCAAAATAAAAGGGACTGGGGATGTATATTAGTGGTAGGGTGCTCCTGTGCTCAAAAACAATTGGTTGTGTTTTTTTTTTTAATTCAGTAAAATAATCTAATGCTTAGTTTATTAATATTTAGCAGGAAAACATATATTTGTACTTAATTAAGTTCTGTGTTCTTGATATTTTTTTTCCTGTCTGTCCTATTTGTTCTTATTCTTATGTTCCTTTTTACTTTTTTCCAGATTAATTATTTTTATGGTATTCCAGACTTTCTCTTCTGTTGACATTTATCTTAGTCCATTTTGTGTTTCTGTAACAAAATACATGAAGCTGAGTAATTTGTAAAGAAAAATTTTATTTAGTTCACAGTTCTGGAGGACCAAGAGCATGCACTGGCATCTGCCAGGCTCTGGTGATGGCATCCTTGAGGATAGCATATGGGAGAAAGAGAGGTCACATGGCAAGAAAGGAAGCAAGGATGGAGAACATGACTATTCTTTTATAATAACTTGAGTTCCCAGAAAACTAATTGACTCCTATGAGACCTAACCCACTCTATTACAATACCAGCATTAATTCCTTTACAAAGGCAGCTATGACCTAATCACCTCCCAATAGGTTCCACCTCTTAAAGGTCCCACTTTTTAATTTTTATTTTTTTAACACTAGCATCAGACCCAGGGATGCTCTACCACTGAATTACATCTCTAGTCCTTTTTAAAATTTTGAGACAGGGTTTCACTTAAGTTTCTCAGGTTGGCCATGAATTTGTAATCCTTCTGTCTTAACCTTCTGAGTTGCTGGGTAAAATTTTAGGCATGTGCCACGACATTTGGACCCCACCCGCACCCCCAACCTCTGCCCCTTTCAGAGTTGTGTTGTTATGTTGTTAAGGACCAAGCTTCCAGCACATGAATCTTTGAGGGAGAAACCATATCCAAACCATAATGGTTCTCTTATATTGCTTTTTTTTTTTTTAGCAGTTACTTTATTCTAATTCCAGGATTATAACATGCATCTTTAACATCTAGTCTACTTTGAGTTAATATTCTATGACATCATGTTCAGTGTAAGAACTTTACTAAAATACTCTTATAAGTACTTTCACTTACCTTCCCCCTTGCCTTTACTTCTGCATCTGTTAAATCCCCACCATTCATTGATAATATTTTTAATTTTTCTTCTTTAGACCCAGACAGTAGTCCAGTTCTTTTTTCTGGTACTGGATATCATTAAACCCAGGGCCTTGCATATGCTAGGCAAGCACCCTACCACTGAGCTATACTGCCAGCCCCAGTACATTATAAATTTATTTTAAGAATATACACTTATATTAACGATATTTTTTCCATTTATAATGCTCTTTATTCCTTCCCTTGGACCCAGAATGTAACTATGGAATCATTTACCTTTAGCCTAATGAACTTCTTTAATTTTTCCAATAGTATAGGTCTACTGATATATACTCAGTTTTTATCTAAAAATACCTTTAATTTGCCTTTAGAACATTTTTTGCTAGATATGGAATTCTGTAGGGTTTTTTCAGGACTTCAAAAATGCCATTCCATTTTCTTTTGGTCTGCATTATTTCTGATGAAAATTGAAAAAAAAAATTCCCCTTTGAGGATTGAACCCAGGGCCTCACACATGCTAGGCAAGTGCTCTACAACTGAGCTACAACCCCAGCCCTTTAATTTTAATTCTTTTTTTTAAAAATATTGTTTTAGTTGTAGATGGACACACAATATCTTTGCTTATTTATATATATATATATGTATATATATATATATTTTTTTTTATGTAATGCTGAGGATCTAACCAGTGCCGCTCACAGGCCAGGCAAGTGCTCTGCCACTGAGCTACTGCCTCAACCCCTAATTTTAATTCTTAACTGTTCTACAAAATCTGACTGCGTTTTTTTTTTTTTTTTAAAGACGGACATAATATCTTTATTTTATTTTGTTTATTTTTATGTGGTGCTGAGGATCAAACCCAGTGCCTCAAATGGATGAGGCAAGTGCTCTGCCACTGAGCTATAAGCCCAGCCCCAAATCTGACTGCTTTTAATTTCTTCTCTTTAATTTTCAGCAATTAACTATGTTTTGCCTAGGTGGAATCTTTGTATTTATATAGCGTGGGTTCCTGAGTTTTAGATTTGTGGATTTATGTCTTTTATAGATTTGGAGAAATTTTGAACCATCTCTCTTCATCATTTTCTTCTACACCATTCACTTTCTCTTCTCTTGGGAATTCAATTACATATATTTCAGTCTGCATCTGTAAAGGGCCAAACAGTATCTTTAATAGTTTAATACTATTTAAAGGATATCTAATATTCTATTCTGTTATCTTAATTTTTAAAATTTTTTTTGTTTTATTTTGGATAATTTCTATTGACTTTTTTTTTTTTTTGGTTGTGCAGAGGAGTGGTAAGAGAGGTGTATATATGTTAATATGTGTAATATGTAAATATGTTAAATACCAGCTTTAATTATTGGAGGCAGAGCTGGTCATAAGAGAGTCTCAACAGGATACTAGGCAAGTGCTCTATTAGTGAGCAAGGCCTACAGCCCCTGAATCCATCTTTAGGTTCACCAATCCCATTCTTAGGCTAGATCCTATCAACTATTTCACCTAACTAATGAATATTTTAGATGCTGTATTTTATTTCATTTTTTTGAGAGAGAGAGAGAATTTTTTTAATATTTTTTTTTTTTTTTTAGTTTTCCGCAGACACAACATCTTTATTGCCGTGCGCATGCCAGGCAATCGCGCTACCGCTTGAGCCACATCCCCAGCCCAAGATGCTGTATTTTAAGCTCTAGGTTTTCCATTTTTGAGTCTCCATTTCCTGCTAAGGTGCTGCTTCTGTTCACTCATTGGTCTATCTTCTCTCTAACAGATATATAATATTTTATGTTTGCTAATGAAAATTAGCACCTGGGTCATTCCAGCACTTAGTTACCTATAGATTTGCTTCTAATGGCTTTGTTTAATATTGCATTTTAAATAATAGTAGAGACTGAAACAGATAATGTTTGGGGATTGGTTTCCCCCACTCCTTTTCTTCCCTAGAGAGAAAACCCAATCTTTCTTTAATCTAGTAGTGAGGATGAGGGGTAAACCAATTCAGTCTAGCTATAAATTATTTTGGGTGTAGATCAAGTTGCAGATTTAAATAGTTTTAGTTGACTCTGATTTCATAATAACTGAGAATGAGATTAATTCCCTCCTTCTTGAGGGCTTTGGTGTCTAAGTACCTGAGACCAAAGAAACCTGTCTTTGCTTTTCAGCTCATACTCAGTTTCCTGTGAAGCTTCACAAGGTCTAGTTTCTTTGATCTCATACAGAGTTGTACTGAGTAAGGGCTGAGTTGCCTCTGTAGCTAGTCTCTGTTATATAGGACATTGATACATCTCACAAACAATAATGAGGGAAGCAGGGAAAGCCAGTATTAACTGTGTGATTTCATGTACATATATTTTGGGCAAAGTTAATCTTTAGTATTGGTTACTTATGGGAAGGCAAGAGGGTTGGTAATTCTTAAGGGGTGGGGGTGAGAAAGGCTTCTCGAGTGTTCTATTTCTTTATCTAGTTGCGTTTATTCATGAAATTTTATTGAGCTATATGTTTATGATGTGTGCACTTTTCTGTATTATGGTATAGTCCAATGACAAAAAATTAAGCAGGATAGTAAACTCTTGTACCAAAACCAAGCCAATCAAACCAACCAACAAAAAACAATACATGGCCAGGCGCAGTGGCGAATGCCTGTAATCAGCGGCTCAGGAGGCTGAGGCAGGAGGATCGTGAGTTCAAAGACAGCCTCAGCAAAAAGCGAGGCACTAAATAACTCAGTGAGACCCTGTCTCTAAATAAAAATACAAAATGTGGCTCAGTGGTCGAGTGCTTGAGTTCAATCCCTGGTACTCCACCCCCCAAAAAAAGAAAAACATATATGGATAAACAGTTATAAAATCTGTTTTTATCTTCCAGGTTTTTTTTTTTTTAATTTCAGAAGTATAACTATCAACAACTTCCACTAATTTATGTCTCCCTGACTTGTTAACAGTTTCCATGTAATTATTGGAGCAGAGAAATGATGTCAGTTTAGGAGTCAAAAGACATTTTGTAGAACAGAGTTGAGGTCAGAAGTTTACTTATATAAACAAACACTGGAGTCCCTCCCACTTGTTGAATTGCTTGATGGTTAAACAGTATGCTACGCAACAGGCTTTCCTTCTCTTTCCTTTTTTAGACGAAGCTAAGAGAATCAAGGAGTTGCTTTTTTATTTTTTATTTTATTATTTGCAGGTTTAACACTTGAAGATGAGACAATTTGATCTTTGTTTGAGCTCTGAAGGGTCTGAAGTGGTTTTAGCTACATCAAGTGATGAAAAACACCCACCTGAAAATATCATTGATGGGTAAGAGTTACTATACTGTCTCACTTGAAGTCTTTCTATTGGGCTAGTGAACCCCTGTGGTACTGGGACTATGTGTGTACAATTAGTGTTGTTAAATATAGTTTAATAAGTGTTTGATAAACCAGATTTCCTGGTAGTATCCACCTTTGTCATCATTCCTGCAACTAATTCATATGTAGATATTTAAGTTTTTGATCCTTTTCTTTTATAATTCCTAAATGGACCTCTTTATACAAAGAGGTGTTTAAATTTATTATTACTATTATTATTAATCATTATTTTTCTAGTGCCAGGGATGGAACCCAGGGCATTGTGCATGGTAGGCAAATGCTCTGCTACTGAGCTACACCCCCAACAATAGGACTTTTTTATAATTTTGTTTACCAAGGCAAACAACAACTTCATTTTATGAATGTGTAAATTTTTATGTCTAGTTTTGTTTGTTTTTATTCCAAATTTTTCTTGGAAATATAAATGTAAACATAGCTTCCTATCTGCTCCCTATTTCCTTACTGGCCCAAGTGACATCTTTGCTGAAATGAATGTTTCCCTTCATGCTATTTATTGCTCCTGCATTGTTTGTTTCTCAGCTTCTTGATATCATTCCAGTTTCCACTCTTTAACAGGTCTAAAATCATTCTCGGTAGAGATAAATACTATTCTCAGAGTCTTAATTCCAAGAACTAAAATGGGAGAACTCCTTTTTTAAGGAGTTCTACTTATTTCTTTACTGTCTTGAGTTGTATTCCTTGGTTTGTGTATAATCACCAGAGTTTAACTCACAGAATCATGTAATTTTAGAGCTGGAAGAACTTATGAGTTCATCTTGTCTAAGCCCTTCATTTAAACTTGTGGTAAGAGAGGTGTAAATATGTTAAATACCAGCTTTAATTATTGGAGGCAGAGCTGGTCGTAAGATAGAGATGTTGGATTCTTTGTGTTCTATTATGAAGACCACATGTCTAGACAAACTGCTAGCAAATTGACCTCTTCTTTCAACTTTAGTTGCCATCTCCTTTCTGCTCCTTTCCCCTCAGGTAGGATAACTTTATCTCTTTGTGGACTCTAATAGCATTTGGTGTATACTTCTAGTATCTTTCTTATTCCTTTTTGTGTAATTGTTTATTTTTAATGTTTTTCTCCTCTCTCAACTGTAAATTCCTAGGAATCAAAATCTATGTCTTGTTCATCTTTTATTCCATAGAGCCTTAAAAGTTTAACAGAGGGGCTGGGGATGTTGCTCAAGCGGTAGCACACTCGCCTGGCATGCGCAGGTCACTGGGTTTGGTCCTCAGCATCACATATAAATAAAATAAAGATGTTGTGTCCGCTGAGAACTAAAAAATAAATATTAAAAAAAAAAAGTTTAACAGAGTTAGAACATCAAATATTAGTTAAACTTGGCTAATTTTTTTTTTTTTAATACTAGGAATTGAACCCAAGGGGCTTTCAACTGTGTTACATCACCAATCCTTTTTATTTTTTGAGACAGGGCCTCACTAATTTGCTGAGGCTGGCCTTGAACTTGTGATCCTCCTGTCTTAGCCTCTCTAGTACCTGAAGTTACAGGCGTGAACCACTGCTCTCAGCTTGGCTAATATTGAAAAGTATTGGAGTGTATATTTATACACACATATACATAAACCTACATTCATGTATATGCATATGTTATATGTTTTATAAGACTTTATAATTTCATATACTATGTTATTCAATTGGGAAATAAGAAATCCAAAGAAGTATTTTCAACCCTACTGTAAAGATGAGAAAACAAATGATCACAGGTAAAATGACTTGCTTAAAATCATACAGAGAAACAGATGACAAAATCAACTAACACTCATATTTTCTAACTGCTAGTTAAGGGCTCTTTGTCCTATACTATAACAAATCAAATCAACATTGAATCAAAAAGTTAAAATCTGCCTTTGCCTGTGTCTCTTAGTTCATGTCAGTTTTTTACTTTCTGAAAGTGAAGTAATATTTCTTATCTCACTCTTAACTTGGAGTAGAAAAATTAGCATGGGAACTGTTATAAGAATTCATAGAACTGAGACAGGCATGGTGGCACATGCCTGTAATCCCAGCAGCTCCGTAGGTTGAGGCAGGAGGATTGCAAGTTCAAAGCCAGCTTCAGCAAAAGTGAGGTGCTAAGCAACTCAGTAAGACCCAGTCTCTAAATAAAATACACAATAGGGTTGGGATGTGGGTCAGTGGCTGAGGGCCTCTGAGTTCAATCCCCAATCCCTCCCTCCAAAAAAAGAATACACAGAACTGTAGAGATTTGCCTTAATGTTGTTTGCTAGGAATAGATCTTTCCAGAAACATTCCTTATCTCTGATTGGAGAGAGATCATTTTTCTAAGGCAAGATCAATTTACCTTCTACCCTTTTGATGAATTTTCTCTCAAGGTAATATGTTTATGGATTATTAGGGTCAGCTGGACGTGATGGCTCACGCTTGTAATCCCAGCAGCTCGGGAGACTGAGACAGGAGGATCAAGAGTCTAAAGCTAGCCTCCGCAATAGCTAGATGCCGAGCAACTCAGTGATACCCCATCTCTAAATAAAATACAGAATAGGGTTGGGGATGATGTGGCTCAGTGGTTGAGTGCCCACCCCAAATTTAATGCCCGGTACCAACAGAAAAAAAGATTATTAGGGTTAGCTATATTATGTAGCAGATAATATTTTAGGATCTGTCAAGTTTATATTAAGGAATGACTAAGGACCTAATATTTTTTAGATTAGACAAAAACTGTTAGTACAGAAAAACATGGAATATAGGTAGTTACTGTCCTGCAGACTGAACGGAGTACGTCATTGACTATAATTCTAGCACATATAATTAGACTTTATATATTAGATGTTAAAAAAATTTCTGTTCACAAATTGGTATACCTAAATGCAAGTAATCATAGAATTATTTAGGGAAAACATACTATAAATTTACCCCTACTCAACAGTGAAGAATGTTTATGGCCCTGCTCCAAACTTTCAGTTTCTTCAAAAATAAGAGTTAAAGAAAATGATTATGTTTCTATTTCCCATTGACCCTACGTTTGTCCTTTATATTTAAAATGTCAGTGAAAAAGTAGAAAAAATTCTACCCTAGAAAAAAGAAAAAAATTAGGAGAACTGATTCACTTTACATAGTGTTGGAATATACTAGATTTAGAATTAAAATTCTTGTTAAATTGAACTGCATGTTTTACCTTAGACAAAGGTTATATGTAATGTTTTAAGCCCAGTTGTGCTAGGTCAGTAAGATAAGATCAGAGAGACCAAGGAATATACCTGGAGGTGGGACATGAGATATAAAGTTCATTGAAAAATGCTTACAGGGAAGGTCCAGTAGCAATGATTGACAGATAACTTTGCCTGAGAATCCAGAGGTGACAGGCTGGACAGGTACACCTCTGCTTCACTCGGTACCTCTGGTGCCTTGCCTGAGAACAGTGCCTCCATCTGTCATGATATTTTGTCAGGAGGTGGCAAATGAGCACTTCCCTTTAGACAGTGCTCTGATCCATACCAGTTACTGTAGGGAGAAGAATTTTATAAATTAAGCTATAGAAACATTGACAATCATTAAATTGTTTAGTTTGTTCCTTGTATGCTCATCATCCCAAGGAGTAGGTATCCTGACATGTGTGCAAGAAAGCAACTTTCCATACATAATACTAACTTGCCCTAATTCCAAGCATATAACAGAGATAGCCAGTGTCCTTCATGATAATATTTATCTGGACATTCCAGCCCAGATTGCTGTCATTGTTCCCTTAACTTGGCTAAGTTCTTGGGAAAAGAAAAGGGCATTCAGAGATCTGGTGTTTTACTCTCCCTCTTTTTTTTTTAAGGATGACATATATTTCATCCTTTGGGCCTCCATTTCCAGTCTAAAAAATAGAGATAACACCACCTTTTCTGCCTTCCTCAGAGTTATTAAAACAACAACAACAAAAAAAAAATCAAATGAGATAATAGATGTGAAACAGTTGTTAGCAGTCAATCCTTATTCAACAGAAAACTATTGCCAGGCAGTGGCCCACGTGTGCCTGTAATCTCAGTGGCTCAGGAGGCTGAGGAGGGAGGATCGCGAGTTCAAAGCCAGCCTTGGCAAAAGTGAGGTGCTTGGCAACTCAGTGAAACCCTGTCTCTAAATAAAATACCAAAAAAAGGGGGATGAGGTTGTGGCTCAGTAGTTGAGTGCTTGCCTCACATGAGTGAGGCACACATAAAAATAAATAAACAAAATAAAGTTATTTGTTCATCTACAACTAAATTTTTTTTTTTTTTTTTTTTTTTAAAAAGCAGGGTGGGGCGTGTGTGGAGCAGGGGCTGGAGATGTGGCTCAGTGGTTGAATGCCCCTGGGTTCAGTACATGGTGCTGGGAAAAGAAAGAGAAAAAGAAAACTACTATTTTGACAATTTCCTTATACCTAATTATGAGGATGCAATTATGTAATTTTAAAGTCCAAGTGCATCTATATAGTAATATGTAGAATTATTATATTGGTCATGTTTATTGAAAGCACTGAAGGAAAAGCTAGGACAATTAAATTCACTAAATTATTTATATTGATAAAATTTTAAACCATATAGTTATAAGTAAAAAGGAAATTATAAATTATTAAATATAGAATTTAAAAATCAGAATTATTAGATAGGAGACCTAACCCTTTTTTTGTAACAACTTTATTGACATATACCAGGCATTGTGGCGCACGTCTGTAATCCCTGGGAGCCTGAGGCAGGAGGATCACAAGTTCAAAGCCAGCCTCAGCCACTTAGCAAAACCCTAAATAACTTAATGAGATCCTGCCTCTAAATAAAATATAAAAAAGGGCTGGGGATGAGGCTCAGTGGTTAAGCACCCCTGGGTTCAATCCCTGGTATCCCCTCAAAAAAATACCCTTTATTTATATATTCATATGCTATATAATTCACCCTTTTAGAGTCTACAATTTAGTATTTCCCACATAATCAGAGTTATGCAACCATTTCCACGATCCATGTTAGAACATTTTATCACCCCCAGAAGAAACCTTGCATTCATTAGCAGTTACCCTGTATTTATCCATCCCCACCAGCCCTCGGTAACCATTATTAATATACCTTATTTCTGTAGATGTTACTGATTCAGACTTTTCATGTAAATGGAATCATACATATATGGCCTTTTGACTAGCTTCTTTCACTTTTCATGTTTTCAGGCTTCATCCATGTGGTAGCATATCTCAGAACAATTTCTTTTTATTGTCAAATAATATTCAATTGCATGGATAAAGCAGATTTTATTTATCCATTTGTCAGTGATAGATATCTGGATTAGTTCTAATTTTTTTTTAAATTTTTTTAATATTTATTTTTTAGTTTTCGGCAGACACAACATCATTGATTGTATGTGGTGCTGAGGATCGAACCCGGGCCGCACGCATGCCAGGCGAGTGCGCTACTGCTTGAGACACATCCCCAGCCCCTGGATTAGTTCTAATTTTGCATTGAATTTACCTAAATTTTATTTTAAAACATCATTTTATAAATCTTGGTTCAATCCCTGGTACCCGTCTCTCCTCTCAAAAAAATCTACTTAAAATAGCATTTAAAACATAAAATAATTTAGAATAAATTTAATAAGACACACAAGACCTTCACAATGAAGTTTATAAGATATTGTTGACAAAACTTTTAATATAATAAAGAGCTAAATAAATTAAAATATATACTATGTGCATAATTAGAAAACTTAATATTGTTAAAATGCCAGCTTTTTTCTAAATTAATGTAAAGTCTGTACAATCCAAATTAAAAATCTCGGTATATTTTTACATAGACACTAACAAATTTTTTTTGAAACATATCTGGAAATACAAAGACCTGGACTAGTCAAAATCATCTTGAAAAAGAAGAAAGTTAAAGCACTTACTTACTTTATCTGATTTCAGGACATAGAATAACCAATTCACAATAATCAAAGCAGTGTAATGTATTTATAATATTAGACCAGTGAAATAGAATAGAGAGCCCAAAACAGACCCACAGCATCAGGTTATATTAGGTTATATTTTTGACAAAATATATTTTATTTTGGAGAAAGACACTATAAGTTCCAATAAGAAAAAGAAAGCCTTTTTAACAAATGGTACTGGAGCAACAGAGTAAACATAGATAAAAATAAACTGTGACCCTTATCCTATACTGAGCACAAAAATTAATTCAGGATGGATCATGGACCTCATAAGAAAGAACTTTGCGACATTGCAGTAGACAAATATTTCTTTTGGGAAGGGGATGACACAAAAATTACTAAGCATAAAATAAAAAAATGGGGCTGGTCATGTAACTCAGTGGTAGAGAGCTTGCTCAGCATGCATGAGAAACAGGGTTCGTTCCCTAGCACCACATGTAAATACAAAAGAAAAAAAATTTTTTTAAAGATAAAGAAGGAAAGAAAAAAAAAAAATAACAAAACTGGACTTTGTCAGTAATGAAATTTCTGCTTATTGAAAGCCATGATTAAGAAGATGAAAAGGCAAGCCATTGCATGCCTGTGATTCCAGCAACTCGGCAGGCTGAGGAAGGAGGATCACAAGTTCAAAGCCAGTCTCTGCAACTCAACAAGGTCCTAAGCTACTTAGCAAGACCCTGTCTCAAAATAAAAAATAAAAAGGGCTAGGGATGTGGCTCAATGATTTAGTACCCCTGGAATCAAACCCTTGGTACCAAAAAGAAAAAAAACAACAAGGCAAATCATGGACTGGGAGAAAATATTCATTTGGAAAAAAAAATTTATATATATATACACACACACACACACATACATACCAAAGGACTGCTACAGGTATATAATAAAAATACAAACAGCTTCATAAAAATATGACAAAATAATTTAAGAGACACTTAACAAAAGAAAATAGATGAGCAACTAACATGCATGAAAAAAGTGCTTAGCATTATAGTTATCAGGAAAATGCAAATTAAAACAATAGGAGACCATTTCACATTTACTAGAATGGTTAAATTATTATTTTTTTTTCTTTTTTTATTGATTGTTCAAAACATTACAAAGCTCTTGACATATCATATTTCATACATTTGATTCAAGTGGGTTATGAACTCCCATTTTTACCCCGTATACAGATTGCAGAATCACATCGGTTACACATCCACGTTTTTACATATTGCCATACTAGTGACTGTTGTATAGAATGGTTAAATTAAAAAGACTGATAACAGCAAATGTTGACAAAGGGTGTGGAGCAAGTAGAACTCTCTTAACATTGCTGGTAAGAGTATATAATAGTGCAACCACTTTGGAAATTTGTAAGTTTTTATAAAGTTAAATATAACTCTACCTTATCATCCTATAAAGCCACTCTTAGTAATGACTTTGTCTACAAAGACACTTGTGTAAGAATGTTTATAGTAGCTTTATTTATTATAACATTATAAAACTGGAAGCAATCCAAATATCAAACAAAAGAATGAACAAGTCAAGTGTGGTAGTACATGCCTGTAATCCCAGCTATTAGGTAACTGAGTAAGGAGGATTGCAAGTTCAGGCTAGCCTGAGCAATTTAGTGTGATCCTGTCTCAATTTTTTGTCATCACAGTGACTTGGGTGGCTGAGACAGGAGGATCATAAGTTCAAGATCAGCCTTGGCGTAAGAATTCATACCCCATTTGAATCAAATGTATGATATGTCAAGATCATTGTATTGTCTCGAGCAACTAATAAAAAATAAAAATTTTTAAAAAAAGAAAAGAAAAAAAAATCAGTCTTGGCAACTTAGTGAAACCTGGCTTATAAGTAAATAAAGGTCTAGAGATGTAACTCAGCTGTGGCAACTTAGTGAGACCTGGCTTATAAATAAATAAATAGATAGATAGATAGATAAAGGACTAGAGATGTAACTCAGTGTAAAACTCCTGGGTTCAGTTGCCAGTAATGCAAAATAAGTAGTAAGCAAATAATAAAATAGGACTGTATGTAGCTCAGTGATAGAGTATCCCTGGATTCAATCCCCAGTAGTTAAAAAAAAATGCACATACATATATATATGAATATATATGTATATATACACACATATGTATGTGTTTATATGTGTGTATGTATATATACATATGTGTATACACATACATACATTGCAGCATAGGTCATGGTGATAAAAGTCAAAGTAATAATTGAGGGATTGTCTGGAAGGAAAATTTCTGGAGTCATGAGAATGTTCTATATCTTGATGGGGATATTGGTTATCCTGGGATCAGTTACATAAGCATATACATTTATCAAAACTCATTAAATGGCCTGGGGATGTAATTCATGTAGAGTACTTGCCTGGCATATGCAAGGCCCTGGGTTTGATCTCCAGCATCATAAAAAGCAAAAAACAAAAACTTATGAAGTTGTAAGGTAAATTTCATTGTATATAAATTTTGCCTCCATAAAAGAAAAAGGCTTACATTGTTGAAATTATTACTTCTGTCGTCAGTACCACATATACTATTTCAAACACACATCTGTACAACTTAAAACTGCATATTTAATTTTTTTTTCAGCAAACACATACTGTGGTTTAACTATTTAACAGTTGCTAGGGATATGAAGATGAGTAGTGGGAAGTGTTTGGGTTCAAAGAGCTTATCATCTTGCAGGAGCCATAAAAACATAAGAGATAAGTGTCAGTGCAGAAATGGGTTGCTGAGTGTCAGGGAAGTACAAAGAAAGGAGGAAGTGATTCCAGTTTGTTGGAGTTAGAGAGATTGGGCCCAAAAGTGAATAAACTTTTGCAAGGGAAGAAAGACTTTTTGGGTAAAGAGAATCTCAGGAACTGCTATGTGGAAGCAAGAGCCTGCATGATGTGTTTGCAGAATTTTAAGTGGCCCAGTGTGACTACAGTGATTGATGGTGATGTAGTGATGGAGGATAATGTCCTTTAATTATGAAACCAGACTGTACAGTCTTAAATGTCACACTAAGGAGTTTAAATTTATAGGCAGCAAGGGACCACTGAAGGCTTTTTAGACAGGAGTGACATCAGTTCTATTCCTGTGTTTTAGAAGAGAATATCTGGTGGTAGCAAAGAATTATTAAACTTGGGGAGAGATTAGAGGCAGAATTAACAGAAATGGATTGTCATAATCCCATAGTCATTTTTATAATACTTATCATGAGAACTTTATGATTTAACTTTTATATTTAGCTATTTTTCTTTTTCTTTCAAATTAACGACAGGAATCCAGAAACATTTTGGACCACCACAGGAATGTTTCCCCAGGAGTTCATTATATGTTTTCACAAACATGTAAAGGTTGAAAAACTTATAATCCAAAGTTACTTAGGTAAGCAAATCATACATTAATTTTCACCATCCTTTAATTTTTCTATAAGCAGAGGACATATATGTAAACTTTTGGCAAAACCCTAGTTTTTCTTCACAGCATGGAATCCGGTTTTATTGCTGGAATGGGAGGGTAGGGATTCTGGGTTAACTGCCTTCAGCACAACTAACCTCTTTAAACTGCAAATTTGAAACCCTTCCAAAGCACATAATAATTTCCATGCAATTTACGACATGAAAGTCTTTGGCAAAAGACCCTATTATGAACATAAGAAGCTGACTTGCCAGAATGCTAGTTTCCATGACATCTTTTTTCCCTAGATTCATTCATCCTGGAGTTCTCTATCAAATTCTTGCTGAAAATTCAATAACCCTGATTTTTCACATTGAATGGTGTTGATTCTTCTATTAATACTGATATTTTCTGGGAATTTAGGAACAGAATCTCCCATTGAAACATTCTTCTAATCCTGTGTGTTTATTTAGGGATAGAGTATATCAGACAAAATCATGGTAGGAAACAAAACACATCCCAGATGTTTCAAATGAAGAGGTTTTATTGATGGGTCCACTTATGAAAGTATGTCTTGGGCTAAGGGAATAAACAAGGGATGATGAGGCCCTCAGAAACTAGCTACAGCAGGAGGCCATTATTTCCCTGGGACAAGGCAAAGAGATAATGTTATCTCACCCCAGTGAGAGCCAGATCCTGCCCAGCAGGAGCTATGATCATGAAGGGACTTGACTGTTGTCCAACACCTGATACCAAAGCAGAGAGGAAGTGGAGAGAGAATAAGAATCTTACTTCTTACAGCCCTCTGTCCACTCCTGGTGCCTCCACTGGTCAACTCCACTCAGAAGCCAATGGGTAAGTCCAGGAGACTAGTCCACAGGGGTCAGCCATTTAAGGCACAGGACAAGACAGAGAAGAGGAGGAATGGATCTAGAGTGGCAGAGACTAGGTGAAGACAGGGAAGGGAACACAGTGCAAAAGGAAGATGCATGGCTCAGTCTCTCCTCTGCCATTCATTGCATAGGCTTTGGAGTCAGACAGTCCTTGAGGTTGAATTTCACTTCTGCTCCTTACTTGTTCTTTCTCATTAAACACCTTACCTTGCTTCCCTAAGCTTACATCCTCATCAGTAGAATAGATTAGTAATACTTTTCTCTTAAGACTGTAGTGACAAGACAATAAAAAAATGCCTGTACTCATAATAGGTTCTTCATAAATGTTTATGACCAAGACCACCAATGTTTTCATCAATATATAAAAAAATTGTTGATGATGATCAAATTCAAAACAGCTCCACTAGCTTTATGTTTTACAGTTATAAACATTATAAGATCACCATTACACAGCCCAGTTCTGTGGCACTGAGGTGCATGCCTATATGCCAGAGACTCAGGGAAGGCAGGGGACTGAAGCAGGAGTAGCAAAGTTCAAGGACAGCCTCAGAAATGGTTTCAAGATAAAAAAAAAAAAGAAAGAAAAATGGTTAGAGATATGGCTCAGTAGTAGAGTAGCCTTGGGTTCAATCCCCAGTACTATTTAAAAAAAAAAAAGGAAAGACCACATTTTACCATGGGGATATATAGAAAAACAGAATGGATAACTTCCAGAACATGGTATTTCTGATCCCAATACTCTAGTTCTACCAATGCATGTCAGTCTCTGGCAGAGGGAAAAAGAAATACAGAGAAAACAACATAGAGTCAGAAAGGTAATTAACATTTTGTTTACTTACAATGTTAGTGCGGACCTTGAAGATTGAAAAGACCAAATCTAAAGAGCCTGTCGATTTTGAGCGATGGATTGAAAGGGGTATGTGCTTGTTTACCAGCATTGTTCTGAATACAAGAGAGTAGATAATTGTCCTCTGATTCTACTTTTCCACTCCAGCTGCATTTTGGTGAATAATAGGTGACCATAATGATTGTTTTATTTATCTTTTATGGGATTATGGGTCATTTCTATTTTATTTTTATTTTTTTCCATATGACTTTGTTGATTCTTGTACACAATTAAGACTGAAAAACCTGGCTTGTTATATAATAATAAATTTTTCTGAATTTCAGAATCCTTATCAGAAAAAGGAGAGATGATATCAATCATTTAAAGGCTTTTGTGAACTAGTGGTTGGTATATTAAAGTTGAACAATAAATATCATCAATAAAATTGGTAGTCTTCAATTAAACAAAAACATTGCCTTCATGTGCTATCTCTTTTCCTTTCCCAAATACCATGAGAATAATAATAAAGGAATAAAATGAAGCAACTTTACAAGAACAACAACAAAAAAAATTAAACAAAACTCAGGAAACTAAAGCAAATGTAAGATGTATATTTTAATAGAGGAGAAAGCAAGTAACC